AAAATAAAATAAAAAGCAACACCTGGGTGGCTCAGTCAGTTGGGCATCCAACTTTAGCTCAGGGCATTATCTCATGGTTTGTGATTTCGAGCCCTGCATCAGGCTCTGTGCTGACAGCCCAGAGTCTGGAGCCTGCTTCAGATTCTGTCTCCCTCTCTCTCTTCCCTTTCCTTGTTTGCACTGTCTCTCCCTCTCTCTCTCAAAAATAAGTGAACATTAAAATATTTTTTTAAATTTTAATAAAAAAATAAAGAAATACAAGATGAATTCTGATGATTATCCATGAATCAATACACATTCCAAGAACTACCACAGCCTAATGCTCAATCAACTTATTCAGAACATGAAACTTCTGAAGTTTATCAAATTCTCAAGAAAGCCACTATTCATAGGAAAAATGTGATGTTTTTAAGACCATCTGTGAGTCCACAGATCTGAGAAGTGCACTATGAATTATCTGAGATCAACACCACTCACAATGGTCTTGAGGGATCCAAATGTGGTGATGGCCTGGCGCAGAGCAGTTGTGTCCGCTTCAAAAAGTAGGACAGTCGAATCTTCAGGTTTGAGGGTCAGATTGCCCAGTCTGGAGAAAAAATAAAACCTGGCTTTTTTAAGGAGTAACTATTTAATCCAAAACAAAGCCAAACTGTGAGTAATCTGAAATGACTACTTTTCTAAGAAACTCATCACAGGTAGATGACTTAACTACGCACCACCCAGTATAATATTAAATATATACAGTAGGATGACCTTATCACAGAAAAAAAGAAGTTAAATCCAAGACATACAATGAGTTACAAAACTGACTTTTTTAGCGGCGCCTGGGTGGCTCTGTCAGTTGAGTGTCCAACTTCATCTCTCAGGTCATGATCTCACAGTCCACAGGTTCTAGTCCCACATTGGGCTTTGCGCTGACAGCGCAGAGCCTGCTTTAGGATGCTCTGTGTCCCTCTCTCTCTGCCCCTCCCCTGCTCTCAATCAATTTTGACTTTTTAAAAAATGTATCAAAGTCAAAGAGCCAAAAGTCAAAACAAGCAAAAAACATCTTTACCTCTCTAGGCACACAGAGACTTGATTGGCTAGATCTTTGTTTTGGGTGCACTCCAGTTGATGAATAAGACAATTGAACTGGCCCAGTAACTGTAAGAAAAATTGAAACTGTCTAGCCACACTGAGTATATATCCAAGTTAACAAACAGCACTTGAGATTAAACTTTTACCTGATCTATATTAATGCTACATTATAGGAAAGGCATTCTCTGGAAACCAAAAGCCACAGTCAAAACCAATTACAGCCTTGCAACCAACCACCTTACCCAGTAGAGCTGTTGGGCCTGCTGCTGAAGTGTCTCTTCTTTAAGCTGATAGATGAGATCCACCTGTTCATACAGCCACACCTCACGGCTTCGAAGGCATTCCAGGTGACGGCTTATGCAGCTGTGAATCTGGGCTTTGACCTAGGAAATGCATACCTGTTAGCTTCACTCCTGTTATAAGCCCGAAGAATGGTGTTACCCACAGAATGGTGAGGTACTTAAACTTTGGGGGGGTCACACATCCTTTTGGTTATCCAATGACATCTATGGAGCATCTCCCCAGAAAAACACATACTATATACTCAAAATTTTGCCTCTAATTTCAGGGTTTAGGGTCCCGAAGCCCACCCATGAAACCACCAAAGCCCCATGGATCCAGTTTAAGAATTCCAGACATAAAGACATTCATAGGCTCAAAAATCCTCATTCAATACACCCTCCCTCTGAAGAGGAACCGGTTTATTTGGGTGGCCTAAAGTAATCAAGAGAAAATAAATGATATGCCATGTAACACTGATCCCCCTCAGTTTTCCATATAATTTGAAAACCTATAGTCTGACAAATTTATCAGTGGAGTAAGATAGGAGTATTAACTTAATAGCTAGCTCTTATCTGTTTTCTCACTCTACAAATGAGCAATCCATTTACAGTAAGCCAATTCAGTAAAGAGATGTGCCACTACATGTCAATAGCTACAAGACCATTAGGGCAGACAGTTTAAGTAAAACTATAAACTAAATGTTTCTGGAAGCATAAACGGCGATTCAGAAAAGAACAAATGTAAAAATCCTAAGGAAAGAAATCAAAACAGCCATAAATTATCTGAGAATTCACATAAGAAACGATTTTTAAATAAGTTTTTCTATATAATAAAGTTTTATTTCAAAGTCATGTAATACTTGGTCTTCCCACTCACCAACAGGGTATTAGTAGGCCAATGGAACAAAAAGATTTCATTCTGGCTTGCTCTAACAGATAGTTATTTACAGAACCATGCCACCAACAAAACCATGCCACCACCAAGTTAAAGGATGGTAGGGAACATGATGAAGTGCCACCCTTTATGCAACAAGGACACAGCTGAGCAGTAGTGCTCATTCATTTTGTTATGTTTTATTGATGGCAGTGCTTGGCACAGGGACCACACACAATGCAAGCGGAACTCTTTACGGTGGTACAAGGTTTTCCAGACTCTTCTACCATCTGTTTAATTTCCCTTGGGGATCAAAAGCATTAACATTTCAGGCATACCGTGCAAGGCATGGGGTGAAACTTTCTGGATGGCACTGAGAAGTCAAGCCCTTGGCCATGCTCTAACCAGCCCTGTGCTAAGAGCCCAGACAAGGGAAGAAAAAAGCACACATCACACCTCTCGCAAGTTATCTTTAATTTGCTGTTCAGCCCGGAGAACTCCACCAATAGCAAGCTCCAAGTCCCTCCGTGCATCACAACACCTCAAAAGGGGTTCTCTATTACTGGAGCAGCCACTCTGGTCCTGTGAGGTACTCATTCTGCTCACTGTTCCTTTGAAAGAAAGAAAGAAAAAATCTAAATTGCACTGTAATTGCAACCAAAAACCACCTTTCAATCATCCCCCAACTGATCATTCCAACCAGTTCCCAATAACTAGCATCATTAGATTACTTCCAACACATGACCCAGCACATAGTATACTCAAAAATACTGCGTCTTCCTTCCTGCTCAACACTACTGCATTCCTGACATATAATTCTAGGCATCTAGGTTAGTGACACTTTACATGTGAACAAACTGTTCCTAAAAAACACCAATTTTCCTGAACTGATAGGGCAATTATATAGCCTCCAAAAAGTTAAAAGAACACTGGAATGTAAATTTCTATTTATAACACATATAAAATCATAGGAGGCATGTGTTCTTATTTTACAGATTTAGAGGTGAAGACTAAAAGGTCTAGAAAGATCCATAATTGTTTTGAAAAGTAGCGACAAACCAGTAATTGGTAAACAGAATTTAGAACATGGTTTAGATCTGGCATTTGCCTATATTTATTGAGAAAGAGGAAATTTTAATGGATTTCCTCTTTTCTCTTTTAGATGGGACTTTTTTTTTAATTTAGGAAGAACTAACTTAGGGATGGTTTCATAGCTAAGAAGTTTTCAAGAATGTAAATCTAACAAAATACTTTCATAGGATTCTGATAAGGGAAATGCTTACAGGCATTGGTGTGGGCTGCTACAGGAATTTTCTACAATCCTGGGTTTACAAGAGATAAGAAACAGAAGTGGAAAGAACAGCACATAACCAATGACATAATATGAGACTGAGACAGAAGCATTGGAAAACAATGAAGCAAAAGCTTAACAAAAACCGCTGGAAGAAGTTTGTGTCTATCCTGGAAAGATCTAGAATCAGAGATCATTTGTAAACACTTAGAAAAAAGCAGTAATCGGTGTAGCCCAGCATGTGTTCACTAAGTCACTAAGCCCTGTGATACCAAAGTTTCTTCCTTCTTGAATAGTTTTAGTAAACTGGCCACTCAACGTAATCCTGCAGCCACAATCTATCTGGATGCTCGACAATGCAGCCTGTGACAAGGTTACATACTGTCTTCAAGGACAAAGTGAATATGAGCTAAACAGAACTACAACTAAATGGATTATTTTTTACAAACAACTCAAAGGATAACAGACTGAAGCCAGTGTGTGAAGTTTTTAGAGGTATGTTTTCCCCTATTACTCAACTGTTTTCCTTAAGTACCTGGATAAAAACAGAAGACAGACATTAAAGTTGGGGTTAACACAGGACTTTGACAAAAACAGATTCCAAAACAATCTCGACATAGCTGTTAAATCTTATAAAACAGAATGTAAATTTTTAAAACTTGAATGGGGGAAGATAAAGTAAAAGAGAATAAAATGTTTTTAAAAGGATGAAGATTTTTAATTGAAAGTATAGCTCTACATGAGTTAGCACTGTGCAGCGTCTAAGAAAAATAACGAACTATTTGCATTTACCAACAGTATAGCATTTGTCACAGGACTAATCTGTTCCATATTTATTACATTAAATTTGAAATTTTTTTTCTGAATAACACACTTTAGAAAATGCATTTAAGGGGCGCCTGGGTGGCGCAGTCGGTTAAGCGTCCCACTTCAGCCAGGTCACGATCTCGCGGTCCGGGAGTTCGAGCCCCGCGTCAGGCTCTGGGCTGATGGCTCAGAGCCTGGAGCCTGTTTCCGATTCTGTGTCTCCCTCTCTCTCTGCCCCTCCCCCGTTCATGCTCTGTCTCTCTCTGTCCCAAAAATAAATAAACGTTGAAAAAAAAAAAATTAAAAAAAAAAAAAAAAAGAAAATGCATTTAAAAAAGGGAAAGGGACTCTAAAAATATGAAAAATTTCTCTAGGAAGGGAAGCTGTTCACCCTAGATAAGTTTCTGGGAGGACATGATTACTACACTCAAATACTTGGCGACCTGTCAAAAAAGACTTAGATTTGTTCAGAATCACCCACAGGGAGTAGAGGAGGATTAACATGAGACATCTGAGACCATATATGAAAGAACTATCGGTTCTGAAGGCAAGGACCTTCTGAGAGATGGCTGCTCTTGGCTCAACAGCAGTCTACCCAGTGCAGAGTCCTCCAGATGACTGACACCTCATCTGAGACAAAGGGAACTTTGGCCTAGACTGCATCTCCATGCCTAGGTTTAGGACCAGATAGCTAGCTAGAAACTAGAAAGGGACAAAAGCAGTGTGATCCCCACCCTCAGAAATAAAATGACGGGGGGGCACCTGAATGGCTCAGTCAGTTGAGCGTCTGACTTTGACTCAGGTCATGATCTCACGGTTGACAAGTTGGGAGCCCTGCGTTGGGCTGTGTGCTGACAGCTCAGAGCCTGGAGCCTGCTTCGGATTCTGTGTCTCTCTCTCTGCCCCTCCCCCATTCATGCTCTGTCTCAAAAATAAAATAAACATTAAAAAAAATAATAATAAAAAATAAAATAAAATGATGGGAGGAAGAAGCCTAACAGGCTTTCTTTTTACCACCTCAGGAAAAGATCCAAGTGAGGAACTAGAGATCCTATAAGAAACTGAAGGCAATTCAGGAAATTTCCAATTGTTTTGTTACCTTAGTCTGTTTCCCCATAATGACTTTTTTTTTTTTT